CAAAGTAGATGGTTCGATACCTGTTGTGGATGTTCATCAAAAAGAACACAATCCGCGACTGGTTCGTGTCAGAAGGTGTATTGAACAGCAGACCGAACTGAGCTTTACCTGCAGATAGCCTTGAATTTTCTAAACCTATATCTTTAGCACTCGCTATCCCCAAATCGGTCAATCGCATAAGACGTACATTCAAAGTGATCTTCTCTCCGACCTTCGAAGAAGCGGCTCAGTCCACTGTATGAAACAAGAGCAGTGGCTACTCACATTCATGATCCGAATAAATGGCCAGGTCGTATCCTCAACGGGCTCGTAGTAGTTCTCGTGATCCCGAATCCTTATGTAGTAGTCTCGAACAGCTTTATCTGGGTCCCAACCGCGATACTGCTGGGCATCAGACGCGTGGTTTATCAAAGGGTATAGCAGATGCGACCTACGTCTGGAGACGAGATCTTTACGCTTCGAATGTTAGTTTCGATGATTTCTTTGTTGTCGCACATAGATTCTTGGGGACGCGCGACATACAATAGTCAAAAGGTGAAGCATGGTCGATATGAAACAACACACCAAGCATTACAACATGAATACCAGCCTTGTCGAAACGTTCTGCGATGGCATTCCGCGCTGCCTTTCTGCCATTATTAGCATCGTAGATAACGACCTGGCCACCCCCTTCAAAGAATTCCCAGATTAATTGCTCGCATCCGTCGGATATCTTTTTCCGAAGAGCAATCGTCTCAGGACTTTTCTCGCCTATTTTGCGGTACACATAAATGAAGAGCCTTATTAGCTCAACGAACAACCTTGAGAAACGAGGGCAGGCAAACCTAGGGTAAAATAATCCGGAGGTAATTGCTGTGCCCCACCAAGGGTCTTTCTACGAAAGTCACCCAAGGATATGACCTGAGTCTTTACTCCCATCCATCTGAGATAGCGCTCCAGCGAACGTGAAATATGGGTCTTGCCTCTGGCTGGCAGACCGATCGTAATGACCAAGATTTTCCCGGCATGGAAAAGCAATCCTGAAGCAGTGGTATAGAGAGGTGCAACCATGGCCAGCTAGGCGGTACAGTTACCTGCCTACTATCAATGGATCTGATGGTAAAGAGACAAAGAGGAAATGAACCCTACTCGGTCTTATCTCTACAATACTAATCGAGACTCAATTTTGAAATTCCGACAATGATAAGATAGGGGTAATGACATAAGCGCTAATAACGCGTCGCGTCGCTTCAATTTATCACTGGTATATAAAATTCAAGGTCAGGGTAAGAAAAAATAATGCAAGGGATATTGGTATGTTACAAATGTGTGTAATGAGCAAAAAAGTATGTGAGCAAACCTGAGCTATGATAAATTAGAGCAGTAACGGACACAAATTAATCGTTCAAAGCGTTCCTTCCATGAGGTTTGGTGCACCTGCACGATAATCTTCCATCTCCTTGTCAAGGTCTTCCAGCGTCACCGTTCGCTTTTTTAACCGTTTAGGTCCTTTCTTGACTTTTCTTCTTGGAAGGACGGCAATAGGAGGGGAGACAACAATGGGTTTTTTGGCAGGGCGACTGAATAAAAATAAATGAGTAGACTGAGAAACTTTGTGGAACATACACCGCACCTTGGAGGAAAAGTAACGCTGAAAGCCGTTGGATGGACTGGTTGGGGTGGTGCAACAGCAGGGCTAATACGGTTCAGCAAGCTGGGAGCGCGTTGTGCAGCTGCAACCGCAGGCGTCGGAAGGTCTTGATCGACAAGAAGCTCGAGTTTTATATGGCGACCTGGTGGCCTCTTGTTACTGATTTTCAACTGTTGAATGTGCAGAGATACATACGTCCGTCGATTATCTTCCCATTATACTTCTGCCGAGCAATCACAGCGTCTCCAGGTCGCTGAAAGGTCAAGACAGCCATTCCTTTTGATTTACCCTGCGAGTTGTACACCAGAAAGCAATCCTTCAATGCACCAACGGTTTTCTTGAACAGGTCCTATAAAAAGACGTGAAACTGCATTGGACTCCATACTATGCATGGAACAAAAAACAAAGGCTTACCTGTAGTTCTGTCTCCGACACGTCCGTCGGTAAATTACTCAGGAATACCCTGCCGCCTTGTGTGGTACTCGACTTGGACGATCCTTCTGAGGCGTCTTTTTTCCATGCTGGTGACGGGAGGTCAGGCTTGACGCCCAAAAGCTGCTTCTTCGGGCCATGAAAGGCATTAAGATTTCGCCTCTCTTCCGCATTGTAAGGTTTATTTCTTGATGATTGCATGCAAGACTTAAATTTTAGTTTAAAATAAAAAGCAGCGAAGGTTTGTCAAAAAGCTAAGAATGTATGGTAAATGGACAAGAACAAGTGTCTAAACTTTGTCGCTTTCAGTTAAAGCCCCTGACAAATAACCCTCAATACATCAGCAATCCCTGACTTGTAACAAACTTAAGCCCTTTCATTTGCTTTGTCTTGTCAGTCCTCATGTCACCTCAAGGCAAACATTTTTACTTATCTTTGTCATGGGGCCACGTAATTATCTATCGGCTGGAGCTTCTTTCGACTTCTGTGCCCTGTTTGATGCCGCCAAATGACTCTTAAACTTATGTCTTGACGTCGGCCGATTGTGAACGCCCAAAAGCGATGGGAAACTTCAAACCAGAATATCTGAACCCATTTGGATTGTTCAACAGGGTTTAAAATAAAATCTGGCTTTCGAATCTTATCTGGGTTCTACAATGTCTATTCCCTCTCTTTTACAGTCAGCAGCTATCGGGTCATTTGCCCTGAATGCGGTCCACCACAATTCACCTGACGAAGCTGGCTCCAAGTCTCTGAGTAGCATGCCAACTCTAGAGCCGGCATACCTTGGACCATCAGGATGTAAAACTATTGGCACACATGGGCTAAAGGCATACAACGACTCCTTATATTATTCTAACCCGCCAAGAAGGTCATTGAGTCTCGCACGCCAAAACTCTGATACCTCTATTCCGATGAGAGTACTGAAGGAAAATGTCGCCGTAGCGAGTTCATCAGTTGACGACGTAGATAACACATCTGACACTTCACGGACACCCCTTCGGTTGACACCCAAACAACGCCATAATGGCTGGATCCAATTTTTGACCCTCTGCTGGTGTATCTACCTCGTCGGTTGGAATGATGGTTCAACGGGTCCCCTCCTTCCCAGGATACAGGAATATTATGGGGTATACACTACATAAATCATGATATAGTGTGTAGATACTAATTTGCTTGGCTTGACAGGTTGGCTTCACAATTGTGTCCATGATTTTTATTACCAACTGCATTGTAAGTGGGAGCGATGCATCATATCAACGATTTTAATGTTATTTTTAGGGTTATGTCTCTGGCGCTGCTGCAAATGTCTGGCTGAACGACAAGATTGGATTTGGAAAGGTACCATAATAATGCGTTCATCATAAATCCGTCAAGTGCGTGAGCTGACCCAATCTCATCTAGGTCCTAGTTTTCGCAGCGACAAGTCAACTAATATCCTACATAATCGTCATGACTGCCCCTCCATTTCCCCTCCTTGTCTGCGCATATTTTCTTGCGGGATTCGGACTTGCCATTCAGGTAGAGCTTTGCTTGCTTCAAATCCTTTAAAAAGTGCTAATCACGGAAGTAGAGTGCACAGGCAAATGGATTCGTTGGAAGTCTTCAAGAAAACATGAATTTCAAGTTGGGCATCATGCATGGAGCCTATGGTACTCCACTCTAGCCCTGTTTTTTGTTACTGCGTATTAATGAAGCTGAATACCCAGGACTGGGAGCGTTTACATCCCCCTTTGCATCCACCTATTTCTCTGAACTAGTAGATCGTCGCTGGGCATTTCATTACGCACTCTCAGCGGGTCTTTCTGTCCTCAATATTGCAATCTTGATCTGGGTTTTCAGGTTTCGACGACAAGAAGGTTTTGCATACGCCCATATACTAGATGATCCCTTCTCACCTGTTTTGTTTAGAGGTGCAACGCGAAGCAGGTCAAGAGCCAGTTGGCGAAGTTAATCCTGGTCAAGATGGAAACAAGTTCCAGCAGATTGTTGGCATCAAAGCTGTCCATCTGCTTACTGTTTTCGCGTTGATTTACATCGGTGTTGAAGTCACTCTTGGGGGTAAATCCATCCTCCCTACCAATTTGCTAGATCACCTAATTAAACTTGACCTTAGGTTGGATCGTGACGTTCATTATTCGTGAACGTGGTGGTGGTCCCCATTCTGGCTTTATTTCATCAGGATTCTTTGGTGGACTTGCTCTTGGGCGTGTGGGTCTCATTTGGTTGAACAACCTCGTTGGTGTATGGCGGATCATCATTATATATGGTGTAATAGGCATTGCGTGAGCTCGTTCATGTCCTCCTGGCGCGTTGCGGATAAAACTAATCATCGTCTAGCTTGGAGCTTACGGTGTGGTTCGTTCCATCTATCACCGGAAACGCCGTCGCTGTAAGTACCTCTGTTTCTAGCTGTTTCTAGTCTGAGAAAGGTGATTTATACGACCATGTACTAGATATCACTCGTTGGCCTTGTCATGGGCCCCGTCTTCCCCCTCCTCGTTTCACACATGACTCGCATCCTTCCAAGATCGCTCTTAACAGGCTCTGTTGGACTCGTTACCGGTCTCGGAATGGCTGGTTCTGCTACTCTCCCATTTATCACTGGTGTGCTTGCTTCCAAGTACGGAATTGGCTCCTTGCAACCATTGTGAGTCGTCAATAATTATGATCGCTGAATGATCGGCGCTAAAATCAGTTATCAGTGTAATCGCGATGATGGCCGTCATGGTCGTGGTATGGCTCTTTGTACCCAGACACGACAGGCGTGCGGATTAGTTGAAGGCAGGTGTCTAAACCTCCAATAAAAAATTATAGGTGTTTGGAATGTCTTTTTGTCTGCTTTGGTTGTAAGCATAGGGGTGCCTTTTGGGTTATTAATTAAACGTCCTTTTGACTCTTTTTCTTCAAAAATATACTCGAACTTAGAGTTTCTCAGTTCCACCTAGCCGACTCGAACGACTGACCTCGTCATGAACTTAAAGTTCATGTGGAACACAAGAAATTACAAGTGACGCGCTCTACCAACTGAGCTAAGGAGGATAGTGCCTGCCTTTTCTGTGAACGCTTTGCAGCCCGCGTACGCCAGGGACTTCGCGTCTTGGCAACGAAACCCCCGAAGGGGGGCATATGTCTGACTACGGGAGACTAAGAAGAATGATAGTTACAAGTAAGGGCCTCAGATCAAGAAACCATTACAGAGGTTCAACCACCATGAGAGCATAAGCGATCCAAGGATACTAAACTCCGGGGATGCAATAGTCTACAAAATGAACCCCTCAGATACTATCCTTGCTCGCTGATGCGTCGTCGTCGTCTCTCAACGCCTCGTTTTCTTCCCCGACCCGACCTGTCCATCCGTTGTCACTCAAGTATTGCATGAACTTTTCATCTTCATCCGCCAGATCTATCCCTGTTAGATCTGGAATGAGGAAGTAGGTGACGATGATTCCTGCTGTGCCGCAAATCGCTGGACAGATTATAAGGATGCCCGTCAGAATCCATTATTTGCGTGTTAGGTTTCCAAAGACGAGACGATGCCCCCAGTGGGTCTGCTTACCTGCGATTATGAAAGTCCACCTGTGCAGTGATATTAAGCTGGGCACCAATCTGTCGAGTATAATTGCAAGTGATGTGTAACATACTTTTTGCCTAGGTGTTCTTGGATAGGTTTGAACACCTGAGTCCCGACGGCTGCACCGAGCTTTCCAAACGCTGCCGACAAGCCATAGCAAGTCCCTCTGAATAAGTAGAATTAGCAGTGAGTATAGATACAACCACTGAATCAGACAAAAGCTTACCGGATCGAGGTCGGATACGACCTTCAGAATCAAAGAAGGCAGTTACCAAGGGTAACAGATTTGCAACAAAGTACAATACTCACTCGGCGCTTACTAGACCCATCATATCACCAGGTCCCTGTTATATATCGACAAGTGAGCAGCGCGAAATTTTGCTGATGCACAAAGCAAGATCTCACCATGTGTCCAACAGATTGCATAAGTCCATACCTGGAATTCGATACCTCGCATTGGAATAATACCCTGTTGAGGCGGTTCGATGACTTACATTACGACAAATAGAGGTATGATCTGGGTGATTTTATCGTATGCTAGACCGAGAATGAGACCTAAATTTGCGTCGAAGCCATCAAGTTTCTAAGCTCGTTCCAAGGTAACACAGGAAAGCAATCGAACCAAACACCATGTACCCCGCGAAACCAAGCATCATCTACAAAAACGGCCGCCTAATCAGAGGTTCGAAATTTATTCTGAATTGGTATTGCACTCACAGTCCTTCGACGACCGAATGGATTGCACAAAAATGCTCCGAGAATCGTCCCAGGAAGCGCCAGGGAAGTGAGAAGGAGCTGAAACTCGGCTGTCCTTTTCAAATCTCCATTGTGGATTACATTCGAAATAATGCTTGCAGAGAATATGCTATTCGGGAAGGTTATCTGATAGTCGCCATCGAAAAGAGTCAGTGTGGCAAAGATATATCTACGTCTTGGGTCGAAAGGGTTCTTACAAAGTCAAACAAGAACCTATTGCATCGTCACCAGCTGTTAGCTAAACGAGTCATATGGGGCACTTACCAAGCTCCACAAGTTCCCAGAAGCTGCTTCCAATAGCGTTTGATAACCAGGACGTAAGGAACGCGACCTGTGAGTAATCGTCTGTCAGGCGTTGATTCATGCAGAAAGTTCGACTGACTGACGTCTGATAGCACCCTCCTTGTACAATTTGGAGCTCACCATTCGAAGTCGAAAGTAGAAGACCACCAAGGGGAGAGCGATTCCAACTCCGAATGAAGCCCTCCAGACTGCAGTCAGATTATCGTTTCCGGCTGCTAATAATGCGATTAAGAAGACTGAGATTGCGAGGGGAGATCCGAGCTGGATGATATCAATTAAGTGAACATGGTAAACCTTTGTAGATTGTTATCGCACTTACAACAAGCAAGAAGTGGGTCGCCATGATGAACACTGACAGAGGAATAGATATGATAAGAATCAGCGCTCTAGCTCAAAAGGTTTGAGCTTCACCTGGTCCCCGGTGCTCAGCCCACCTTTCATTTGCTGATTCCGATGCCGTCGTGGATCCTGCAGGGTACTCTCCGCCCACACCCTAACGCAAATCAGCTCGAAGCCAACCCAACGCGCTGAGGGCTATACGCACAACTCCAGTTATACCCCTGCAAAGTAGGATTAGATACAAAGCATGTATATGGAGTCTTCCTTCGGTTTTTAAGTTACCTTGCCACGGTCAAGAACCAGAACAAGCCGCTCACGCTTCCATTTGCTCCATGAGCCGCAGTTGCAAGCGTTGCACCAAGCACAATCAAGGCAGTGGTAAGAACAAGCGCTGACTTGCGACCGACGCGGTCACATAGAATGCCTACTAGGATCTGACCGATAATTGTGCCTAGTGCGGTTCGTAGATCAGATACTTTTCGATCCCCTGGCAGTGCACTCTTAAGACTTACCAACGAGAGATGCGTTCGAGACGCGTGTAGAGACAGACGATGTATATTCCCGTGGATAAAGCTTTCTAAACACGACCTATAAAAGTGTTACCTTTGCAGCTCTACCTACTTGTACAAACATAAGTAGAAGGGCACTGACATTGCCCATCGTCATCAAGGTATTTTGGTCTGCGATGATCAGCGTGAGATTTACGTTGACACTTGAGGAAAACGGATCTTACATCCATCGCTCAGAAATCCAAACCCTGCAGCGAGTATAGTAAAGTAAGGGCTTAAAAGCAGCTTTCTCGATTCATCGGATGCGTCGCGGTTGAGCATTTTCGGTTGAAGATCAACGATATTGAGGCAAGCTGAACGCCAAAATGGATTGTGTCTGCAGGTGGTAGTGTATCAGAAAGAGTCGGATCTCAAAAACATTTCTCAATCTGCATTTATTCGGCCAAGTAATCCCTGCACAATCTACACGTGCGTTGTCGGATGCTGAGCTGGCTGAGATCCACCGTCCAGGAGAAACTTAGGGGCGTTTAGCTAAAAATAGAAGTCCATACATAGACGGGCCGACGGCAGCTAAATATGGTAGCCGGAAGGATCTGCTTCCGGTCCGGACGTACGCATGTGGATTGATGTCGACCACCACCAAGCTCAGGAAACAACCACCAGACTCTACCACAATGTCCAGAACCCTGGCAGTGGCAATGAGGTCGATGTCCCCGACGCGTAGGGGAAACAAATCGACCCTTGTGGATTCATTGTCACAACCAGCTCAACAGCATCCAGAATATAACCAACAGGTGCCTACACCCCGAACGGTGGCGGAACAGTACTGGGCTGCTCGTGCTCTCAAGGCGGAGACTTTGCTTGGTGCTCAGGAGGTTCATAAGCAGGAGGTAAAAGCTCTTGCTCATGTACAAGAAGAGAAGCGCCAGGTAGGTCATTGATTTAATCGTTGGTGGACGTGATATAACAACCCTACATGGAACAGAGAGAGGTGAACGCGTTGGGTGAAGAATACAAGGCCAAGCATGCATCTCTGGAACGGTTGATTGTAAGCGTGATATTTATCATGATTTTTATATTCATTCTAATCAAAAAAAAAAAATTGTCACAGATCATCTTGCTGTGCTTGATTGTGCTGCTGATATTTCTGGTCATTTATCTGGCTACTCATTATACTCGACAATCCTTCGCCTTACAACATAAGAAACAAGATGGTTGGTGGTCTTTTGTGGGCGCGTCTCACTTTACCATCCCCATCCTGTCACCGTTCACATCGGTGGTAAGTCGAGAAATTTATTTTTGCTTATCTCCCTTCCTGACTTGGGAAAAAAGGTTGAACATGAGCACTCGGTGATTGGAGCCAAGATCATTGGATGCATAACTGCTATATTAGCGTGCCTGGGGTATTTCATCTTTCGACACTGGTTGAAGGATAGCAGTAGCATGGCGACGTCCAAACCGCCTCCTTCGCAGTTTGCAGGAATACCAGCACCAGGCGTAGTTTCCCGATTCATTGATCGGTGATGCGACCACCGCCATTGGATTGCTTCTCCTCACCTCTCGGCAAGGACATGAATGCGAACCGCGATGGTCGTGGTCCATATCATTCTTTGCACTGGAATGGCTGTTTCCTCTCAATTGAACACTGCAAGACGGCCAAGTTCCTTGAATTGTCGCGTCAAGTTCTCGTCGCATAGGGGCTTAGCCTGACACTTTGTAGCGAACGACGTTGAGAGAAACAGACTTCGAAGTCGCTGCCTCGATGTATGGTAGCTATGTTGTTGCTATACATCTACATACCCGAATGATAATAAAATTGCAATAATGATAAATATGAGTCGTAAATGAACCTTGGCAGTTTATCGTGATGACAGGCCTGAACAACGTGGGAGTCACGTTGGGTCATGGATTCCCATTCGAGGGCTTAGACGCTGACCAGGAGTGGCGGTTGAGTACAGCATGAGAGTATCTAGGCCTGTCCTATAATCCCGAAATACCACGAGGCCATTATTATACATTTTATAATATCTCAGGAGACTGGTAAACCATACGCGTTGTTCAACCCCTTTCTTGCTACTAATCCTATTCCCAGGCGTCCTTATACAACCATTCTACGCCAGGTCAGGTCATTCCACCCATCTTGACAATGCTCACGACAGTCGACATCGATGCCTACATTCAAGACCCCACCTTAATCGCGAAAACATGGCAGAGCAATGATCCAACTCTCTCGGAAGACCCTTCGGGAGAGCTCACAGTTGTGGAAGCTCGTATACAGGTCGTGTCCTCAATACTTGCGAGCTTGTTCAACCAGAGTCATCAACTAAAAGGACGAATCAACGACCTTCACTGTCCTCTAATTCGAATTCTGCCTCCAGAGATTATTGCGGAGATATTCCGTTGTTGCTTGCCTGACTTCCTACCTTTCTGTATGGACGAGTTCACAGACCTAAAGAAGTATGCTGTTCCCCTAATTCTTGGGGGAGTCTGTGGGGCATGGAGAAGAATTGCGTGGTCAACACCTTCATTATGGTCAACCGTCACCCTTCGGGTTACAAACC